TTCTCCATAAGGAGATGCGAAGACAAATTCCGGTATATTGATATCACTTGGCGTCATGGAGGCTTCGGGGCTTCGTCTTACACAAAAGTCTTCTACCATTGGAGCCGTTTCGATTACATGCTAGAGCACCACTCGTTCGACCTTGTTCGCTATTATTGTCGGACAAGCTCCATCCTCCTCCCGCTCACCACAGCCCAATGCGTGCTGACAGTTGCCTACCTATATACGGTAGCCATCAGATCTCAACGGCTCGTCTAACAGCACCCTCGAGACCCTTTCCACCCAAGTCAATGTCGAAACCCATGCACACCACGCCGAATGGCACCTTTACGGCTCCCGCGCTCCTCTCCTCTACCCACCTGTCAATCACTCCGTCGCCCCTCGCAGGGTTCCACCCTTCATCCCGGCTTCCGAGCGACGGCGCAGCGTAGACAACCTTGCGCACAAACGTGCCGTACTTCATCGTCGCGTCGAGGAGGGCGAGCGCCTCGTTCGTCTCGGGCTCGCCGTTCTCGTCGACGGGGGCCGGATGGAAGATCGACGTCACGTTGTCGAGAGCTGTGCGGTAGGAGTCTGGGGTCGTGATGGGCGTGATGGTGAGTTTTCCGCATGCTGCGGCCTCGGCGAAGGAGGTGGTGTGGGCGGGGAGAGGGGAGGTCAGGCGCACGCGGGTGCCTGAGGAGAGGGCGCTGGCTATGAAGTCTTCGACGAGGGGGGAGGAGGACGGGGAGGCGGAGATGAGGAGCGTCGGCTGGGTTGGGGAGGTCATCTTGCCGTGTATGAGGCAGGGAGGGTGACGGGTGAGGCGTGATCAATCTGCGAGACGGGGAGGAATGTCGTCTTTTGAATGGCAGCAAACGTTGCTCGGCACGATGAGATCGGTCCAGGTCTCGTCCTTTATACCTGTCTCCTCTCAACAGCTTGCCCGAGGTCCACACCCAACAGTCTTTTTTCGTCCCCTCTCCGCGTAGGAGTCACGATGCAAATCCGCCCTCCCCCGCGAACGGCACCGCGCATCCCATCCCTCTCGGCCCCTTGGCGCCCACGCGAACGGAACCGGCGAACGTCGATCTTGGCTCGCCCCGCCGGCGGGGGGGGGGGCATCTCACGCGCGGGGGAGGCGTCCCAGGCCGCGCAAGCCGGAGACAAAGCTGTCTCACTCGGGATCGGCGGCTTATCAGGATGCAGACGGTCCGCGAGGGGAACTTATCAATTTCGGTAGATCATGAAGAGCCTGGACACCACGACTTGGCAACCTCTATTGTTACCTTTTTTTGCGATTATGGTTGGCATCGACAGGGCGGGAGTACACTGTAGGAATGATGACAGATTGTAATTCTGCAATGCGATGGATAGTTCCGTGGTGTTGGGGCACGACAGAGCTGTGGAATTCGCCTCGTGTGGCGAGGCGACGATCATCTTGTGGCGGGTTGATATGCAAGCCAAAGGCGCCTAAAAGATGAGGAGCTCTAGCAAAATCGATGGTGCGGTCTTCAGTCCCTGCATCGGTCATGGCGGATTTCCTAGCCGCGGCGCTGGGGTGTTCGCGCGCCAGGCTCTGAGATGTTGATCAAGCCATTTTAATGCTGTGTCGCCCCCATTCCTGGCGAACGCACGATATAGTGGCTCGTCATGGTGGGATGTGTTCATTCGAATTCATGGAATAGAGATATCCCCACAGCAGCTACACTTCTCACTGGTGTAACACGTTTGTGGGCTGCTTCGGCATGTCATGCGGGAGGATGGTAGTCTATCGCTGGGCATGGCTGGTGACCACAAGAACCCACGACAACCCCAGACTCTGTTGACCCAGACAAGTATGTATACGCTAAGCAATAAAGTTAGACACCTTGAGGTTTCATTGTTGATTTGGTACAGCTGTATAGTTACGTGGACCGCTGTACACGCTTCACATGGCGGATTGCAACTTGCAAATCTGTATCGATGGTCACAAATTTATCAAGCTTCAAGTCACATGTGAGAAATTATTCTATTTTGGGTATTAGTATCAAATGAAAACCGCAATCCGATGCACATGCTCACCATGATCGTAACATGAGAGACTGTGGCGTCAAAGATATCTGTACCTTCAAGTAATGGTAACCAGACTGGCCTATGGTCTAGCCCAGAAGGCTGTTTCTGACATTATGCTCCTCACATTGGAAATTAGGCGCCACACTTGGTCTAAGAATGTGACATGGTCATCACACTGGCTATACGTACTTCGCCACGCTGGCTATTATACCAGGCATCGTGACATCTTCAAGCTTCTCGTGTTGTTTTAGGGCTGCCCACGCAAAATTGCATGCAGCTCGAGAGTATGCACGCCAAAACTCTTAAAAAATGGAAAGACACCGTCCATGTGCGACGAGCTGAGGAGGTATGATCCTGTCTACATGGCTTGTCACGTGCATCGTCCTACAGAATGGGGGAAGAAACCACCGACCCTCCCCTTCCTTTCCCGAAGTAGGTACATGGACATGTATTTTTTCGACATACTCGACCAGGGCGGAGGACGCGAGACCTGCATCCTGTAAGTACTCGTACTACAACAATGGCGTCTAGTGTCAGACTGGTGGGGCACATGCACTCGAGGACTCCAAGCGATCTCACAAAGTATCATGACAAGGACCTCGCTTGGATCAGCCAAGCAGTGCTCGGTTTTCTCGAAGGCCTCCAGATCCCAGCAGGAGAGGGCCCCGCCAGAATCCACACTCCGGCGCATCTGAAGCCCCGGAAAAACCAAAGCACGACGGCGACATGGCGACCATGAAGGACACGCATCTCAGGACGAATCACCACTCGCAAAAGAGCGGACAAGGCATAGTCCGGACGCCCTGCGCCCACGGAACATGGCCGCCTGTCTTCACCCCCTCCCCCGACTGCGCCACAGCAGACGTCAAGACGAGAGATTCGCTCGAAACCTCAAAGGAACAGGCGCCGTTGCCGTGCCCGAAGCCGGTTCATGACACAATGAAATCCAGGGTACCAAAGTTACGTGCGGTTGACGTCGGGTCCAGCGTCGGGCGTCAACACGTAAGAGGGGCCTTCCGGGTGATCCCGGAGGTGGGACGGCGCAACGGGAGCAGGGGGCGCCTTATTCGAGGGAGAGGGGAGGAGCGAGCCCTGAAGGGAGGGTCCAGGACTCGGCAAAGCACGGAGCAGGCAGCAGACAGGGCCCCGAGGGAGCGAGGTCGAAAACGCAAAAGCAGGAATGAGGAAACGGCAGGAGGGAGGCGCGGGGGCAGAACTCGGGACTGGCAGTAGATATAGGCGAGGCTAGGAGGGTGTGGCAGCCGAGGTGCCCGTGATGCTCCGGGGCGGACGGGCAGACCCCACTCGGACGCCAGCCTCGAGGTCCCAGAGACGAGAGGACAGCCGACATGACGGCATGCAGGTATGCTCGTGGCAGGTCCAGCCTTGTGGATGTCATGAGGTTGGACAGTCGGACAGGCCCGGGGTAAGGTGTGTTGGGGTCCTTGGAGGGGTTTGGTTCGTTCGGGTCATGGTAATCTGGGGATCCCGAAGATTCCCATCGTGTGCCTTAGCCGATGTGGGGTGCTGCCGTTCGTCCTCGGCAGAAGAGGAGCAGGGAGCGAAGGGCAGCAGGCAGGGATCGGAATCCGAATCGGAACCGGGTTCGAGAGGCTGAGCCGTGGTAGACCGAGCTAGGAAAGTGTGTGATGGTTGAGTGATGCATTGGCGATGGCAGCGATGGCGGCATATGGTGGAGAGGCATCGAAAGACTGGGGTTGATGAGTTGGTGTTGAGGAAACAGAAACTGATGCATCGAAGCATCGTCATGCCGCTGGCGAGAAAGAGCAGACGAACTGGCGAGTGTGGTGGCTGAAAGGAGGGAGTGGACAGTGCAGCAAGTGTGGCTGGTGGACGCGGACGAGGCAGACGGCTTACCTAAACGCAGCCCGAATCCCCACCTGTTTTGGCGTCGTGATGTCAGGAGGGGGAGGGGGAGGGGGAGGGGCAACCAGCAGATGCAGAACGAAATGCCCCTCCTTCGTCCTGGGCGCGTCACATCCGAGTCACTCTGTGGCCATCCGAGTCACTCTTTGGAAGGAGGATGGGGCTCTTTTTCGTCGATATCGCCCCAATCTTTCTGGATGATTCTACTGCACATCTGTGTGCTATTGCCTGGCCTTCCACTTTGCTACCTGGCTGTCCTGCACTTGCACTGCCTGCCAATTGCACGTTGGCGCTGCTCGAAAATACTTTCGCTCCAATCCGGTGAGCAAAGTCGAGAAAAAACACCCCTACCGCCCCCCGTGCCCCGAAAGAGGATGCGGGACAGAGCGGTGTCGCCGGCGGCTCATCTAAAAAGAGGTATTATTATCGTCAGTATCAAAAGGCTGCCTGCCGGACGCGAAGCAAATAATGACAGATCAGCGTTAGTCAGGTGCACAGTCAGAGGGGGGGAAGGCGATTTCTTAGTGACACATCGCTGCGACAACGGAGGCAGATCAAAAAGAGTTCTTTTTTTACTATTTTTCTTGGTCATGATCAGTATCAGACCCAGGCGACAGGCTGAGCGCGAGATATTGGCTCGTGGTAACGGCCCGACAACGCCTCGACATCCAATACATGATCCCGGCCACGGACCGCAAAAGAGGCAGAAAACGCGCAGCTCCAAAACCACCCCAAACGAAAGGAGAGGGGGGGCGCTGTGGCTCGTGGGGCCCGTTTCCCTTGGCCGGGAGTTGCGGGATGGTGAGAGCTCCTTGTTTGGACCTCGAAACACAGCTATGAAAAGCTCCATTTTGGGGATATTTCCCTCTGCGCCTTGTCTAGGTATCTCAAGGAGGGGCAGGGGCGCGAGCGGCGAGTCGAAAGAATAGCTCGACGGATGCTGCTCATCGCTCAGTCAGGGTGGGCGAGACGCCAATGAGGTGTCTGACAATCGGAGGAGCCCAGGACAAAGCTTGAAGCGAATCAAACGGAACCCCCACCACCTTTTTCTCTCAACCAAAATAATATCGCGCGACCCAGACAGACCCAGACCCAGACCCAGACAGGCTTCCTCAGACCGGACCACGCTCCCTGCGCGTGCGAGCGCAAGCATGCGTGATTGAGGTTCAGAGGTGGTACTGTGTACATGTGTCTGCCCCCTGCTCCTGACCCCACCAGAGGTACCTCGTTCCATCGGGAGGTACTCCACCCCACCTCAGATACCGGACGCATCAAGCTGTTCCCTCCTACCTACCTCTAGGAGGTACCTACCTAAGGTAGGAGGAGGTAGCTAGACAGACACATCCAAGCACCGCACCAAGCACCAAGCACCAAGCACCAAGCACCAAGCACCAAGCACCAAGCACCAAGCACCAAGCACCAAGCCACAACTGGTTGGGTCCTTCCCCCCGCCTCCCCTCCCCCTCCGTCATCCATCACCCAGCGCGCCAGGCCAGACCCAGAGGGCCATTGGGATCCATCCCCAAAGCTCATATACCTCCCCTCGCCAACCGCCTCAAAGTTTTTTTCCTCCCTCCTCTCCCTCTTCTTCTTCTCTTCCTTCTAGCATCATCACGATACCATCTTCCAAGGTCAGTCCCAGCTACCCCCTCATGAGCTTCCTAAGCTTCCGTGCAAGCTTTCTTTGAGCTCCTTCCTATCAACCTCCTTGACTACCACTGCCCCCTCCCCCCTCCTCCTCGTCCTCCTCAGCTCCTGCTTGGGGCGCTCAGGATTACCCCGCCATCATCAGACCATCATCACGAAACCTTCCCATCATCATCATGATCCCCCCGGCCTACCCTTCCACCTCGACTCGAACTCAGCACCTATCCTTTGCTCCATTCCAGAAAACGTAAACTGACCTATTCTTTTCCTATCAACAGACCAAAACTTCTTCACATACCACCTACATCATACACAATGGCTCCCATCAAGGTTGGCATCAACGGTTTCGGCCGTATCGGTCGCATTGTCTTCCGCAACGCCGTTGAGCACTCCGATGTCGAGATCGTTGCCGTCAACGACCCCTTCATTGAGACCAAGTACGCTGTAAGTAACCCCCCCCCAAACCAAAGTCTCATGCCCCCTTCTTTTGTCTATCATGTGCTGGGGGTTCTCCCCGGCCATGGTCTGACCATGTCTCAACCCCGCCGCCCTCGGCAGTCAAGATGACCCCTTCACGACCCCTGGACGGCGTTCCTTGAGCCCCAAGCACACACACACACGAGACATATGGCTAACCTTTCCTCAGGCCTACATGCTCAAGTACGACTCCACCCACGGCGTCTTCAAGGGTGAGATCACCGAGGACGGTTCCTCCCTGACCGTCAACGGCAAGAAGGTCAAGTTCTACCAGGAGCGTGACCCCGCTGCCATCCCCTGGAGCGAGACCGGCGCCGAGTACGTCGTCGAGTCCACTGGTGTCTTCACCACCACCGACAAGGCCGCCGCCCATCTCAAGGGTGGCGCCAAGAAGGTCATCATCTCCGCCCCCTCGGCCGATGCCCCCATGTACGTGATGGGTGTTAACGAGAAGACCTACGACGGCAAGGCCGACGTCATCTCCAACGCGTCGTGCACCACCAACTGCCTGGCTCCCCTCGCCAAGGTCATCAACGACAAGTTCACCATCGTTGAGGGTCTCATGACCACCGTCCACTCCTACACCGCCACCCAGAAGACCGTTGACGGTCCCTCCGCCAAGGACTGGCGTGGTGGCCGTACCGCTGCTCAGAACATCATCCCCTCGAGCACCGGTGCCGCCAAGGCTGTCGGCAAGGTCATCCCCGAGCTCAACGGCAAGCTCACCGGCATGTCCATGCGTGTCCCCACTGCCAACGTCTCCGTTGTTGACCTGACGGTCCGCATCGAGAAGGCCGCCAGCTACGACACCATCAAGGCCGCCATCAAGGAGGCCGCCGCTGGTGACCTCAAGGGCATTCTGGCCTACACCGAGGACGACGTTGTCTCCACCGACATGATTGGCAACGAGAACTCGTCCATCTTCGACGCCAAGGCCGGTATCTCCCTCAACGACAACTTTGTCAAGCTCGTCTCCTGGTACGACAACGAGTGGGGCTACTCCCGCCGTGTCCTCGACCTCCTGGCCTACATTGCCAAGGTCGATGCCGGCAAATAAATGCAGCTAGCACCTGCAAACCGTCATACCCTCCTGACATGACGGCCGGGGTTTTGGTGGTGTCCAGACGTTTGAGAAGAAGGAGCCTCAACGTCGGCGCCTGTAATGAAGAAAGAAGAAAAACAGACATGACCTGACACGAACTTGGAACGCGAAGGACCACGGAAAGGTGGCCAACAGCCGCGTGCTATAGTTGAATGAACCTGCCATAGACCAACAGGCCGATTACTCCTACCTGATGCTTCATCTGTGCTGTTTCGATGCGTGCCGTGTGATGCCAGCTGCTCTGACGTTGTGTGGGTTGACTCGGTTCGTCTGAGACGGCATAATCCACGTCAGATATTTCAATGCATAAAAATGTCAAGGCTTCATCATCTCGCAATTCCAACAACACCTACGTACTCTACCAGGCCGTAAACCCAATCCAGCCCAATCCCGTGCCCGGCACATGTTGGGGCTTCCTTATTTTTCTCCACTCGCCCTCGCCCTGCTTCACGCGCCTTCTTCCCTCTGTCCACTCTCGCTCGCCCCCCTCCGCCCCCCGCGCATCGCGCCCGTACGTGGCAGAGGGGCGAAGCGCAAGGAACGCCGCGACGACCTTGCGAGGGCGCCCCAAAACACGAGAGAAAGAGGGCAAAAGTGCGGAAGGACAGCCAGGAAAGAACGCAAAGACGGACGATACAGACAAGACCAACGGAGTGTCAAAAAAAGATGAAAAAAAATAAGCGATAAAGAAGAGGAGGAAGAAGAGGGGGGGTGAAAACAAAATAAAAGAGTTGCAATTCATTACCACTCGCCGCTGGCCCCCTCGACTCCGGCTCCGAAGGTCCCCCCTGTACGATTTCTTGGAAAGGATCCGTGTTTCCCGGTGCGCCTCACCGCCCGTTCCATCCTGCCCTTCTCGCTGCAGATTTTTGCCCCTCCGGTTGAGTTGTCGTGGCTGTGTGGAGGCGGACAGGCGGGTGGGTGTGGTGATCCGCGAAAGAGAAGAAGGCAAAGCAGAGAGCTCCGAATAGAGGGATATCATCATGTACAACAACATTTGGAGAGGGAGAAAAAAGGAAAAAAACAAAAATGGCCAAATCTTGACGAAGAACGGGTAATACGCAAAGGGGCGCAGAGTGGCGGCGCCGCTGATCATGAGGATCACGAGGGGGCCATAAGCCGATGTGCACTCCTCTCATTTCTCCGTCTTAGTCGTCAATAGAGCCTGGATGGGAATTGTGGAACATTATACATGGCGTCGTGGAGGCCTGTGGCCGACCTACGGCGGCCCCCTTCTACAGCCCGTTCGTCTGCGGGCTGAGCTCCGGCCGCCAGTCGACGCCCTCGTCCGCTGCCCACCGGCGGACCGTCCTCAGGCCCAGCGCGATGGCCTCCTCGGCGCTCGTCCAGGGCCCAAGGTTACATCGCATGTGGGGGTCGTCGACGCGCTCGACGGCGTCGTAGGCGCTCTTCCATATGTTGGCGCGCAGACGCTCAAAGTGCATGAGGCGGACGGCGCTGGAGGCTGGGTCGAGCGACCAGTAGCACTTGATGAGCTCCTCGAGGATGACACCCTTGAGCTGGAGGTGGAGTGCGTCGAGGACGCGGTGGCGACCGTCGCCGACGTCGCGCTGCAGGGTGCCGAGCAGCGGCAGGATCGTGTCCCAGGTATTGGGGTCCTGGGCCTTGTTCTCGAGGCGGCGCGAGTCGAAGACGGCGCGGAAGGAGACCATGTAGGCCATGGCGCTCTCCAGACACAGGGCGATGCTGAGCTTTTGATCCGACTCGGAGGGGGCGCGGTCGCGGTTCGACTTCATCGCATCGCGTCTGTGCTTGAGCCTGCCGCCGAGGTCCTTGTACCGCTCGTAGCGGTCCCGCAGCTTGCGTATCGTTGCTGGGTTGACGGGCTCCCTCGGCTCCTGCCTCGTCGGTGGCCGGTCTCCCGGCGTGACGCTGTTCATTTCGCCCGGAGTGTTTCCTTGCGAGTTGTTCGACGCGCCTCGGGACATGGCCGTGGCCGTCTTTGCCGGCGTTGACGGCGTCACCAATCTGGATGAGCTCGCCATGTCTGACGTCCGCGGCCTCTTGACGGCGATCGAGTCTCGAACATCCTCCACGCTGCTAGCCGGTCGTTTCCTAGCGATGATCGGTGCCGCCTCGAGACTGGCCGATCGAGGCCGCTCCTTCTTCGAGGGTGGAAGGGCCAGGATGCGCTTCAGTGTTTTAGAGTGCTTACGGCCGCACTTCAGCGTCACTATGAAGCGCTCCTGTCCATTTCTGTCCCTATCCCTGTCTCTGTTCCTTTCCTTGTCCTTGGTGCTGACTCTTATTTGTTCTTCGTCATCGTCGTCTGCTCTCCTAAGCAGCTTATTGGACTTGCTGTTGACGGCTGGGTCAGGCAGTCGTGCTGCTTTTGTTGCTGTTGGCGTATCCTTAAAACGAGCCAATTCCTCCTCGAGAGCTGGCGGCAGCGTCGGTGATAGGAGCGCCGGTATCTTTTGTGGCGATCTTTCTTTCTTGGACAGGACTGGAGCCGGCGGTGCCGTCCTCGTCGGCTTTTGTTGGACCGATCGTAGGGGATCGTCGATGCCGTCTCTCCTCCTCCTCTCGGTTGGTTGTGAATCTGCCTCCTCCATGGGAAAGTGCAGAGGTGATAGTAATGGCGGAACAGTGGACTTGCTTGGTGGCGCATCACGCTTGCTCAACGATGTCCTGTTCATCGTACTTGAACTGGAGCGCTGGCCGTTGAGAGAGTCGCCTCTTGGCCGACCCGAGGGAGTCGAGCTGTGCTGCGAGCCGATTGTTGATTTGAGAATGGCCCTACCATTCGGGAGTGTCGATGGTGTGCCGATCTTCGGGTCCCTCGACGCTGTCCTGTCTTGCGACGACTGTGGCTCCTTCCGCCTTGGGTTGTCGTCTCGTGGCGTTCGCGAGCGATCTTCCAAGGGCGCATTCGCATCGATTGGCGGCTTCTTAGGCAATCGCGCAAGCGCTTCTGCTTCCTGCTGTCGTCTTCGTTTTTCGGGGGACGTCGTCGTGTCCTGGCTTGAATGCCCTCTCGCGTCAAGTTTGTGAGACCTGTGCATCGAGCATACAGTCAGTTCACGATGCGCTTTGACGGGGGAGTGAACCTGAAGCGACTTGGTACCAACCTTTCCTCATGGGCCCCGTTCGGCGGCCTCGCTCCTCTGCCATCTCTCGTCGGCTCGCCCGCGCGGGGCGCTCTACTCCCGTCGCTGGGGTCTCTCCGAGCCTCAGGCGCCCTCGCAGCCGAAGCAGAATCGGGCGGGGACGGCGAGGCCCTCTTTTGTTTATTCTTGTAGTCGCTCAGCGACAACTTGGTCACCTTCCTGTCTGTCTTGACGACAGGATCTCGCGCCGCGTGGGCGTTGGACGGCTCCTCGCGCATGTCGTAGTATGGTCGCGTCAGCAGCAGGCCGCGGTCGACATCGGCCAGCAGCGTCATGTACTGCAGGGCGCGGACCTCCTTTTCTTCGTAGAGCTCCAGCTTATCGGGCGGCACGCGATAGCGCTGGTCGATGGATTTGGCGAGATGATAGGGTTGTTTGGGTAATGCGCTCTTGGCCAAGTTATGGACCTTTGTCGCCGCGGCTTCCATGGTTCAGCGGGGTTGGCATTCCTGGAGCATGGGGCGGCAATCGCGCGTCGTTGGGCGGCAGTCGGGTCGGACGCAGATGGCAGACGGGGAAAATGGGTTGACGGGAGCGAGTGTGGTGTTGGTGGTGGTTGTGGTGGTGGTGGTGGTGTTGTTGGCGTTGGCGGGCAGCGGTGCTAGACCGATGCGATGCGGGCAAAGACACCCGTGGGTCGATGAATCGTTCGCTGGCTCGCTTGCTCGCTGGTCGACGACTGAAAGAGGAACAAAGGCGGGATGTGTATTTACTTTCTGCCGAACGCCCGCCGTCCCAGGAACAAGGAAAAGAATGGGCGTTGGAGCAGAGCACAGAGCTCTCTCCGTGGCCCACAACAGAGGCCGTGTCGCGAACTCTCGCGGCTGACCTTTACAGGCTAGTCGCGGCAAGCAAGTGCCAAGATGAGGTTCCCGCAATGGAGGCAAGAGTCAAGACTGTGGTCGAATCGTTCGAGGATTGACGCGTGCGCTGGCGCAATCAATGTCGTCTGCGGTGTCGATGGCAGGTCAATCGGTGCTGTGCAGGCTGTCGATTGAGATGCCGGCAATCGTGTCGCAGGTGTCGATGGGGGGGAGGAGAAGGAGATGCAGTGGAGAAAGATGCGGATGACTGAGGTGCGGTGCGGCACGAAACGATGTGATACGACAAGCACGCGACCCAGTTCGTCCCCGATAGAGATCGCAAAAGGCTATATGCTATATGCGCGCGTGGAAGAGGCGGCGTGGTCGGCGAGGGGTGGATTGTCGCGCGATCCGGCAATAGCAATTGCTTCGTCGACTCGTGTCGGTGTGCCGGGAGGGATGTTGGGATGCAGCCGATGGCTCTAAGGCACAAATCAGGCTTGGTCGAATTGGTCGAAAAGCCCGTCGTTGGGGTTCGTGATGCTCCCTCCCAGGTCGTGCTGTCTTACCCAGGTACCTAGGTCGGGTAGGTAAGGCAGGGGGGTGGGGGAAGAGAGAAGCTGACCCGCTTGAACCCCCCGACGTGGAAGCCAAAGAGCCCTTGCAGCAGTGAAGAAGCCGACCCACAGCCTGAACCTCTGCCGCACTGTCGCAGGGGAACCGAATGGCAGAGGCGATGCGGCGATGCGATGTGATGCTGCAAGGCGTACCTGGCAGGCAAGGTAGGTACCGTACCAGTGCGCTGTAAGGCCCTTGGGCTTGGGCGTCTGTCGGTGAGCCTCGTTACATAGGTACCTTAAGGTAGGGTACATGTAGCTGAGGAGAGTAGACAAGCGCGCTGTTGCTCGCCAACGACCTGTCAATCCAGGACCATGCCGGTGCTGTCAAGAGACAAAGGCGCCTTGTTCTCGATGAATTCCCACTCTTCTCGATACGGCCACTCGTCACACACACGGATGACGAGACGGAGCGAGCGCGGACCGCAGTGATGGTTGTGGTGATCAGAGAAGAGACGTGAAGAACGCTCTTTGGGAAGACTCGGCGGCCCCAAAGCGGGGGGGGGGGTTGGTGAAGAGGCTGGGGGGCTGATGTCTGCATTTGCCTGCCTGGTCCCTGTCTAGCAGCCCGCTCTGGCGCCTGCCAAAACCCCCGCCATCGACGCCTACAGGGGCGTATTCGTCGCCCGATGGAGGCGCCATACACTGAAATGCCCCTGACAGGTGCCCTAGATGCGGCAACCTCCCTCTGCAGCCACCAAAGTTAAGGTGCCTAGGTAGTCGAGACTAGGTAGCCTGGAGCCAGCCGGACAAGGTACCCTAGGTAGGTAGATACCTACCTTACCTTATGTATACCACGCTACGGGGTACCTAGGTGTGTAGGCAGGCTTGACGCGTTTTGTGGGGTAGCATCAAGCATCAATGACATACATCCATAGCAGTCTACTCTCACACGCAAGTGCATCTCGTCAGTCAGCGTTCGTCATGCTAGATGCAGAACGGGTCCCTCGTCATCAATCGTTATGGGGTTTCAATCAGGGGAGCAAAACTCCTCAGCTAGTTGGTACGACCGGACTCGAGTCCCTTGGTCATCTGGGGGTCCAAACCCCTTCTCCGTGACCATTTGGCAGAACATGCAAAAAGTTAAACCCCGCTGCCCTCAGGGCTGTGACCCGGTCCGACCGTCTCTAGCCCCTTGATCCGCCGATCCATGGCCGACAAGAGCTGTCCGACCTCGTCATTGCGCTCCTGCAGCCGTGTCACCGTCTCGTGGTCCTGGTTCTGTATGTGGCCACCAATCATCTGCGCAAGGCCTTCCGTAGTCAGATTGTTGTACTGGCTGTCCAGCACACTGAGCGAGAGCAGGAGGCCCTCGACCTGCCCGTTCATCCACTTTTCGCAGCTCTTAATCGTATCCTCCACCTGTGTTATGCTCCCCTTGATCTGCTGCTGCCAGTCGTCGTTGGCTTTGCAGCGAGCTTCGAGATCGTCCGTGCGGCCCATCAGGCGGCCGAAGCTATCTGCCGACCATAGCGCATGTTCGATGACCTTGTCCTTGGTAAACAACATACTCTCGTGGGATTGGACCCTGGCCTCGAGCGCCTGGAGTCTGTTTGTCGTATCCTGCATGTCGATCGAGCTTCTGGCGCCCGGGGTGGCACTGGCTGCACCTGTCGCGGGGTTGCCCTGTCTCGCTTCCTCGAGTGCTCGCTCGCGTTCCTCGACCGTGTTGAGCGCCTCGGGCGCCGCCGAACCATCTGGGGAGGCTGCTGATGCCGCAGGCCCAGGCGCCGGCAAGGAGAGTTGTCGGCTGCTCGTCTCCAGAGATGCGAAGCGCGTGTCTGTCTCTGCCCTGTCCTTCTTGATCAGGTTGCCAAAAAGGACCGCCATGTTATTGAGCTTGTCCTGCACCGTGCTGCAGCTTTGATCATGCTGTTCGATGGTGACGAGCTTGGATTCCATCTCTTTCAGTCGGTTGACCTCGGATTCCAAAACGGGCAGCTTGACATTGATGTCAGTACAAGACTCGTTGATAAAGTCCATGTCAGTGTCAGCAAGAGGTGCTGTGGCCTCATCGACCTTGGCCGTGAGAGCTCGCATCTCGTCTCGCATCGTGTCAACCAAGGCCTGCAACGTCTGCGACGCAGCCAACGCTGGGACCTCAGGTGTAGGCCTCACAGGCGAGGCTGCCGCGGTCTTGAGTTCTGATTTCAAGGCTGCGTTCTCATTTTGCAAGCTCTGGATGTGGCCCTTGGCATCAAGAATGTTGGCCTCCAGCGCCGAGATCCGCTCTGCTTGTTTCGCGAGCGCATCGTCATGCTGTTTTGTCCGGACCGCCTGTTTTTCTTCCCACGCCGTCTCCCTGTCCACCATTCGCTTCTCGAGAGCATCAAGCCGAGAGTCGACGCCACCCTGTTGCTGTGGCTGGGTTTCCATCCTGGCATGGGTAGGTGGAACATGGGCCGCCAACTCGAGCAGTTTCTCGAGCCAAATTCTTGTCTCATTGTTGAGGGTGGTATTGTTGTGCTCGAGTTCTTTATTTAACACCTCCATTTTCAGGTCCAGTTTCTTGGTAGCATGGGCATGCACGTCGCGCACCGAAGGAAAATCGTTGTGCTTGGAAGCGCCCTTCTCAAGTTCCATCCTCTGTCGAACGCATGCCTTCTCGACCTCCTGTCTTTGTTTCTTGAGCAACGTGCGATCTGTGACTGGAGTCACAACGTTGCGGAAAAGGCGGAGGAGGACATCGGCATCGGATTGTTGCGCTGCCGTGGACAGGGAGCCTGCTTTGAACGCGGACGGATTGGGCGCTGTCGCGGATCTGTTCAAGCCCGGCCCTGTGGCATGGCATGTCATCGTTAGCTCCTGAAGTCCACGAGGCCTCGCCGACAAACTCAAACAAGACGTACCTCGAGGTGGCTCTTGCGGGCGATGGCTTGCTGGACCACGTGGTGGAGAGAAGCCGCCGTTCTGCTGAAACCTGTCTCGACCCTGTGCGCCGTCTCGGGACTCTTTGCAAAAATCTGCCGAGTTGCGTCGGCCACTCGCGCCAGGGGAGCGCTCGCGATCAAGGTTCCGTCCCCGATCGCGGTTGCGATCCCGCAAGGTGTTGTCTCTCAGCGGGCTTCTGACCCTAACGTTTTGTTGTGGATTGTACCCGCTCCTCTCGCCGTCGCGCCGGTCGGCATAGTTGTATGCGCTCATACGGCCCGCGTCGTCCCTTCTCGACATGATGCAGGTATGTCATAGGTAAGTGAGGCTCGGTGCTTGGGCTGTCACGTGGCTGTCTCTGTCGTGTGTTGCTGTCGTCGAGCGAGGTTTCACCACTGCGAAAGGGCTCGAGGTGTTGTTGAACCAAACGGAAACAGGGAGGCAGATGCTGATATTATAGGCTATGAATGCTGGCGGAGCAGGCAAGAACGGTATGTCGTCGGGGTATCTTGAAGGTGGAGGATAAAACAAACGGGTGCGAGGGGTATCGAGATTGCCGACGAAGGACTGGAAAGAAGATAGGAACGAGGAAACGCTTGATGCCACAGAGTTGATTGCCGTCGAGTAGCAAGTCTTGCAGGAAAGTAATCTGCCCTGACGCCGTCCCACCCAGGTGAAGAAAAGGGAAA